ACTCAGACTAAAAGAAACCACAGGCAAAATAAAGCTCTTAAGAAACAAAAAGGATATTGTACATAAGCAAAGCCTCGGGATTCTCTTGTGTAGTAGTCCAACGGAATGTAAACGTCGGTAATTCGGCCATACTTGGCGAACAAGCGTCTAAGATCTTCGGGTCTAACAAGAGAATTCAGGTCGCAAATTAGATAAAAAGCGAGCAAAACTACATACAAAAGCTTCAACTGGTCTAACCTTGTCTCGTGATGTAAGTTTCTCACGTAAAGCGAGCTGTTCGGCGGTCTGGAATATCTCGACATTTTCGTTTCTTCTTGCTGAAAGAAAACCACGCTTTGACTCGCTGTGAGAGTTATTATGGGATGCCTAATGTCTTGGTATCCGCATTCTTTCTGGTCATCGGTGTTCCGGCTAAGAATAAGTCCAAATTTGGCAAGGGCTACCATATTTGGTAAAAAAAGCTTTTAGCGTTGTTGGCGCGAAATTCATTTCCCTAAGCGCGCAAACATAACGCAACTTTCTTCTGCTTGAATCTTTCCGTTTTCTCTTTGAACTCTTATTCTCCATTTTCTGTGTGATTAGTTGCCGTATTTTATTTATTATGGATACAAAACCTACGGCACCAGATAGATATAAGCAATCGCGTTCTTACGGTAGGGGAGTAGAGCGTCGTTCTAGAGACTCGCGCGAATACAAGTCGGATGATTCCATGCGAAGGTCGAGGAATGATTCAAGGAATATCGATTATCGTGATCGAAGGTGAGACTATATTCACTTTAATTCATTTTTGTATTTATAAGGCCGCTGAATGGGAAAATGATATTTTCATTTAAGTTTCTTTCATGAGACTTTAAGTTAAATAACGACAGTAACTCAAAGTAGTGCAAGACTTACCGCCATTTTATAAGCAAAACAGTTTGAACTGCAATCAGTCAATGAATTCGTCTCCATATCTACAGAGTATCTTTCATAACACAGGATATATGATGAAGAAATCGTTTACTTTTAGTTATTTGAACTACAATAATTATTATATAAGATCTTATTAAAAAAATCACATTGTTCTTTGTTAAATTTTGCACGCGGTGTGCGTCTTTGGAGGTCTATGCGAAGCTTGCAATGCATTTGAAATATTATTAAGCTTAAATTTTGTCTGTGTTGCCAGGAATAGAAAGCAAATCCCAGAGGATCAATGCATATCACTTTTCCCCTCCGCCAAAAGCAATTCCAAAGAAAATGTAACACTTGACAAAACTCCTCAGAACAACAGGAGTAGATGTGAAAGAAGAAATCTTCCATTCAATCGTTCAACACAGCATCCAAGTAAAATGGACCCCGATGAAGAATTTCCTCCTCTTGGGGTCCCAAGGTATGTACGTTATATAACTCTACTCTATCCTTTAATTTAAAGAGCTGCTTTCTTTCCTTGGTACATAATGATTGTATATCAAAATTAATGAAAGAAGTTTTGGCCAAATAACATATTCCTTGTTTGATGGGCTAAGAGGATTTGCCCCTGTGGCACTTGCAAAAACAGACAGTCGACAGTTCCTCTTGAAATCATACGTGAAGGTGTCATCATCAGTAAAACCATCAAATAAGGCAAATTTACTGATTCATACTACAATGGTTATATTTGAATCAGAGTATTCGAAAACGTCTTAGGGCCAGTTATTTAAAAGGAGTTTATCCCGTGTTTAACAAAACCATGTTCTAAGCCATTTTCAGTTTGCCCAACGGTTTTGTCTAAACACCATTTGCGTGAACAATTTTGATAAAGCATAGAGCATAGACAGGAAAAGCACTTATTTTCTTTCTTTTTTTTCTTTTCCTTAACTAAACCACGGCCTAAGTTAGACTTTGTTTAAAAAGATATACCCATAANCCTGTGGCACTTGCAAAAACAGACAGTCGACAGTTCCTCTTGAAATCATACGTGAAGGTGTCATCATCAGTAAAACCATCAAATAAGGCAAATTTACTGATTCATACTACAATGGTTATATTTGAATCAGAGTATTCGAAAACGTCTTAGGGCCAGTTATTTAAAAGGAGTTTATCCCGTGTTTAACAAAACCATGTTCTAAGCCATTTTCAGTTTGCCCAACGGTTTTGTCTAAACACCATTTGCGTGAACAATTTTGATAAAGCATAGAGCGTAGACAGGAAAAGCACTTATTTTCTTTCTTTTTTTTCTTTTCCTTAACTAAACCACGGCCTAAGTTAGACTTCGTTTAAAAAGATATACCCATAATGTCACAATAGAACTATACAAAATTATCATAACTTAGTGATTACATGGATTGTCTTCCAAAAAGATGATGCAGCCTAACCTCTCCTTACGGATACCTTTTTAACACGGACACCTCTCTATTAGTATAGGTAATAGCATGATTAGTATTGATATTTGGCATAAATACCACGAGAGATATTTCAAAATTGTTATACGTAATTTCACGAGCCGTTAGGCGAGTGAAATTTGAAACAATTTTGAAATATCACGAGTGGTATTTATGCCAAATATCACGTACAAATCATGCTATTATTTGTTTATACTACTACCCGCAAAAGATTTGTAATTTTCACATGTAGGTATTTCAAATTAAGCTGAAATACTACTGCTCTAAGCCAATCAAATTGCAGTAATTTCTCATGTAGTAGTATTATGGACAGTAATTACATGTATTTAGATCAGTCTGGAGAATTTGTATGCAGGTTTCGGGTTAAAGGATTAAGAGGAAGCTTTAGAGAGCCAAGAGCTCTGAATGTATAAAATCCAGCATGTCTGGCTTTTAAGGTTTGAGGAAAAAAAAAGATTTCCTTGTGACGTGGGGCAAAGTAAGTAGTTCAGGGGCCACTTGGTACTGCTGGTAGTAGAACATGCCGCAATAGACCTTTTTACCGACAAGGTGGCCATTTTGAATTTATTAGATTTAATGAGTGTTATGGGATGCCTAGGGGGCATTAGCATGATCCGATATACTCGTTCAGTATTTACACGCCCTTTAAGTTTTCCTAAAAAAAGATTGTTGTGCTGTGTTTGGATGTAATGATGCAGTGAAGTTCTCTTTTTGCCCAAAAAGCAAGCATAAAGACTGAGTCAGAGCCCCTGTATCAGTAAAATGGTCTATTATGACTCCACCTTTTTGGTGTGTATGAATTTGTGATAGTCTGAGAGTTTCTCTTAAATATTCTAGTTAACAACATTCATTTCTGAATGTTAGTGTTTCTTTAATTGCACAGTATTACTCCAGAAACTACCAAGGACTGGGGAACTATGGTTGAAGAGGAAGAAGCAAGGTCACAAAAAATGCCAAAAACATATGGCAGGTAAGATAGTTTATACTAATTCTCCTCTAAACCATTAATGCAATAAGACCACCATTATGCAAGTGTTTTATTGTTAGCTTTTAAAATAATGGTAATTTAGCTGTAATTTTCTTTACCATAAAAAAAATCATGTACCTCTATCAGTGCCAAGTGATGAGAGCGAAGTGCAGGAGACATGGTCATATGATCTTGCCTTATCATATTTTATCCATTTTCTCTATTCCTTTTTCTTTTGTAGCTTAGTTTCTCATACCTATCCATGCGTTCACCATTACTCCACATTTATAAGACAAATAAATTGTCTGTTATTCAGGCTATTCTAGGTGTGCTTCTGACTGTTAGCAAACCTGGTCCTGAATCAGGCATACATCAACCAAGTGTTCCTTGTAAGACTCGTGGGAATGGTTGAGAACTGATTCTCACTTTCACCAAGGCCACACATTGGGCAAAGTGTCAGATGTAACCATTGTATGATCACCAATATTGTAAGCTTTCTGATGGCACTGTGATGAAAAGATCAAGCATTAAAGACTAGGGGTGTGGAATGGTCAACAGAAAATGATGTGTCACAGAAAATATCAGACGAGTCTTGAGATATCGGCATTTGAAATTAGAGTCTCGGAATCTCAGGCTCGCTACAAATTGAACCGTTTCAAAGTGTGAAAATTTAAATTTTGGAATCTTGAAATTTGCACTTGATCTTAACTTGCTTCCTGAAAGATTCATATATTCCCTTTGAGTTTATCTTCAGTTTTTAGACATTTTGTCCGTACCATTAACTCTACATTAATTTTGTGGCACTTACAAAGCTGTGCTCTAAGGAAAATTGAAGGGAGCCCAGTGCTCTAAAACTGTAAAATCTAGGGTGCCCAGCATATGATTTCTATGAAAAATCTCAGATTTTCTTGTCGCCCGAGGGCAAAAGTTAGGTACCAGGGGCCACTGGGCTCTGCTAGAGCACAGCCCTGCACTTATAAGAATCGTATTTGATAAGAAGGCTCAAGTCTTGGTCTTGGTCTTGCAGTCTTGGGAAGTATTGAATTTACCATTCTATACCCCTAAAATAATGAGGTTATGCTGCCTCACAAAATGACCTTTAAAACTACAGGTGTTGATTTGTACCTACTGTCATTCCTACTGTAGGTATAAAAGAAGATTGATACTTTCAGAATCCCAGGACAATAACACACTGAAACATACTAAACCCGTCATGGTGGATGACCACAAACTCATCCAAAGACAGAAACAGATTGACATTGGGAAGAATACTTTATCATATGGACGATATATAGAAGCAGTGAAAAGGTATTGATTTGATAACACACAGTTAACCAGCACCCTAATTGATACATGGGCCTGGTGTTGAGAATCAGCCAAGCTTTCATAATCAATCATCAAAAATATCAGATTGACCCAGCTGATCAACCATTGATTATTACTAGAAGAAACTCTTTATAAAATTTCCAAAGTCAAAGTGATATATTTTTCTTGAAGTTTTACTGTGGACCACTTTAATTTATTTAACCTATTTGCCCCTGGAAATTTTGTCAAAATATGCGCTTTGAAGCTGGTCCTGCAGTTTTATGGTCACTGTTGTGCTTTAAAGAGCTAAAAATATTACCAGAAAGTCATTTACAGGTCATACACTTCACAGCCTTCTGATTCAGATGTAAAATATTAACTTGCAAAGTTTGGGTATGTGCAGAAAGCAAAATTTTGAGATAGTTTTTGGGTTTTAAAGTTAAAAGTTGTAAATTTTCAGGTCAATGTTACATGGTTTTTTGCCTTTTTCTCTGGTGTCCTTGACTGAATTGAGCTCATTCTGGTATGATTTGAAAGATTTCTTCACTGCCCTGCACAAGTTAGTGGCAAAGATGTCCTTGACCATTAAAGCTGATGACACCACAATTGGTTGAAGGGACCTGGATCCCCATGGGTGGTAATACGAGTGGCTGATCAGGGGCAAATGGGTTAATCAAAAAAGTTAAAAATCGCCTTTTGTGGGTTTTTTTCACCTGATTTTCCTTGAAATTACTAGCCTGTGTACAGACGTCCCCCCTCCCTCAGGAAAAAAATCGGGAGAGGAGACGTCTGTGAATCGCCGTCGTTAATCATGTTCCGGTATACATTTGCATAAATTATTTTTTTGTTCTTTCGCTGACAGTTGAAAAGGCACATGTAGGTCGAAAAATAGCTCTGCATGGCGTCTGTGCACAGGCTAGCCGAACATCTTCACGCAATGTCCACCCAAAAATCCAGATATAAGATCTCTGATTACAGTGAAGCCAGGTCAAGCGTACCTCCTAAGATCCTATTTATTATTCGAAAGTTGAACTGTTGGTAGTTGTAGATTTCAGATTCATCTCTGTGGGCATTCTTGCATGCGTAATGAGCCGTGAATTCACACGCGATTCAGTTACGAAATTTCTACCAGCCCAGTTTCCCTGAATTTGATGTAAATGTCTTCTAAGACATTTAATCCATTCAAAGATTTTCAATCTGACCAAATGCAGAGAAGTTCTCTCAAAATATTCACTGCTCATTCGGCATAGCCTGAAATTCATCCGATTGCTTCGAGTCGTTTTCTCCTCTCAACAACTGAGGGAGTAATAACGACTCGAAGTAATCAGATGAAATTCAGGCTACATTCAGCATAGAGGAATGCCGATTTAAATTTGACACCAGTTACGGGAACGATTAAAGGATTCATTTTTTCAAATAATCAATTCAGTCATAGAATCTTTTTGGGGTAAGCTTGACCTGCCTTGGCTGTTAACGTTGGATTTTGTATGCCTTCTATTTTATTTACAATACCGACCAGTACAGACAGAAGCATCCGCAACCGGTGCAGCAAACATCGGTGGTCTTAACTTTTCATGCCTTTACGAGAAAGCCGAAATACAAATACCGGTAAACAAATATCCACAAAGGCTGAGCTTGTCCTCGGGGAATCTATTCTGAGGTTCATTCACCAATCACAACACCGGAAACTATTTGCGTCATGGCATTAACATTACAACCAATCAGAGGCTGTCCCCAACATTCTGGGGAAACGGGAACACGATTATCGTCGGCGATTCACAGACGTCTCCTCTCCCGATTTTTTTCCTGAGGGAGGGGGGACGTCTGTACACAGGCTATGAAATTACCAGATTTGGTTGTTTTATGCTGAAAAGTGGATTTTTCTGATAAAGCTTGGTACTTGCTTAATCCATTTACCCCAGAAATTTAGCTGAAAAACACACTTTGAAACTAGTCGAGCTGTTCTCTGGTCACTGTTGTACTTTAAAAGAACTAAAATATTACCATAAAGCCATTTACAGGTCGTACACTTTGTGTTCTTCTGAACCGGATGCAAAATATTAGCTTGGTTTGAAAGATCTTTTCACTCCTTGTGTAGGGTTTGATTACGTCTATGACACAGGCTATTAAAAGTCAGGCGCTGATTGAGAATTGTTTATATCAGAAATCTGCTAACAAGCAGCCACTGTTTTGAGACTCAAAGATCTGACTGCTTACAGTTTACTAAAACTTATTAATCCTACAGGGATGACCGAACAAAAGAGGACCCCAAGACACCTGACAAGTTTCAAGTGTGCAGCACAAGGTCTTGGGTGGGTCAGATCAAGGTTTGGCGTCGAAAACTTCATGTCTGGGACCCACCTTCAGCTGAAGGACAGGAAGACTTGTTTTCTTTATCATCACAGAGGTAGTCAGTCACTACTCTATAGCCATCAGTTCTTAAACCATGGCATTTTAATAACATTACTTTGAAAGGTTTGAACCCAGGAGTCATTTCATAAGTTGAGTATGATTGTCTGGGTGAACGTAGTCTTGAATAGGACTGTTGTTGTTGACAGTGCCTGACTTTTTGACAACCTGTGTGGTTATCATCCTCAGAGTCATTATGAGGTGTATCACATCAGTTAATGGTATTGAACTCTTGTTATTGACCTGATTAGTCAATTAAGTCGTGATGTTATTGGTCATCTGTCAGTTGAGCCGTGATGTTATTGGCTGTGAAGACTCGTAATGTCATTGGTGTGTTCAAAAACCAAATGTCAGATGGACGCCTGGTTGACCACTACCTAGGCTAGGCTGATGGTGTTCAAAGCTGTGCTCTAAGGAAAATATGAAGGAGCCCAGTGCTCTGAAGCTGTAAAATCTAATGTCCCCAGCATATGATCTATATGAACAAACTATCATTTTCCAGTCACCTGAGAACAAAAGTTGAGTTATAGGGGCTACGGGGCTCTGTTAGAGCACAAATCGTTGATGGTGCAACTAAAGAATTTCTGGTGGACAGTCAGCCGATGTCAGAAAAAGGCTTTTCTGGCAATGCTTTCCTTTTGTACCATTAAGTTCACCAATTCACAAATAATTGATATTAATAGAAATGTTCAGTTTGTGCTATCACTATATTTTCTTTAAAAAAAACTCCCAGGCCAGTATTAATATCAGTTCTTTTTCAAGGCCCTGGAAAACTCCTTAAAAATTCTCCCTGGTTTATAGATATTTTTGGAACACTCCAGGGAATTTTAATATTCTTGATTGTGGAGGCATTGAAGAAATTAATTTGTTTATTTGTGTATTCATTCATATAGTTTTTCATTGGAATTTAAGCTTCATTTTATTGACAGTTCTGATTCCAGGAATTTGCACATCTGTACTCTTGAAAACTCCTAGAATTTTTTTATCTCCTTTTTAATGTATCAATCCTAAAAAGACAATTTTGGAATACAAGTACATTTTTCTTAGATTTGCATTTGAATTAGCCTGCGCACAGACAAAACTAAACTCTGTTAACCAAAAAAAAAAGAGTTAATTACTTTTGTCTGCTCACGGGCTACATTTGAATAGAGTTATGAATGGAAATTACAGGTATCTGAAGTTTGTTACTATTTACTTGCTTTTGCAGTAGTCTCCAGTCTTTTGCAAATGAAGTCAAGATGGAAGTGGATAGTAACTGTGATGCTGATGATGACATGATGTCAACCTCAACTCCAAGCAGTGTTGATGATCTGTTCGGCGACTTTGACATTGATGCCTGTCTCGCAGATGATGGATTACCTCTTTAGGTACACACTTAGTGCTAATTTTTTTAAAAAAAGGAAAGATAGCTTGGGGAAAATTAAAAAGAAAGCAATGTTACAGTAGCAAACTTTAAAGGTTTATATTAACTGTTTTTGCAAAGATTTTATTAATTTTTATGTCGATAATTTGATGTGATAGTACCTCAACACCTTGTGGCTTGGATCCTATTTTTCAGCCTCCTTACCCTCTTAACTTTGGGTCACTATATGTAAGACTTCAAGAAAAGCGATAAGTATTAAATTGACAGACATTTGACTGATCATTTACAATTTATAACCAAGAAAGAAACCACTGGTTCATTGTGTTATATACTGTATAAAGGAAAAGGAATTTTAATGCCTTGAGCATTTTGTGACATTTTAACATAGAAGATCATGATTTTGTAAAATACAAGGGTGACTTTTGATGTCAGAAAATGTTTATTAATATGCTATGACCCAACAATGGCCATTTTTGCACCAGTCACATTGTTAGTCTGCGATCAAATTTTTGGCAACAACAAAACCTGGACTAGTTTAATTCCTGTAACCCTTTCCCTTACCTTTAGTCTTTTAGCGACTTATGGTTTTTGATCCAATCCAGGTTTTGTTGACACCTAGCAAATATTCTAATGCCAACTCTAGATCAAAGACAGGAACTCCTAGAGTCAAACATGAAGACAATTGGGCATGCCAAATGATTTCAACACTGTATTGAGTGTTGAAATCTCATTTTTGCAATACCTAATAGGGCCTCAAAGAATTTTTCAAAATTTTCTCTGTAGCTGTGGGGTGGGTGAGAAAGTGGGGTGGTATACCCCAGTGAGACCTTCTACGTAAAATAACCTCTTTAGCAGGACTTTGTTTGCCACACAGTGCAAAGTGAAGGACTGATATAGTAGCGATGAGCGAAAGGAAAGGCAAGTATGAGAAAAGATTTGAAAGGTCTGGGAAGATGAACGGTCCTCCCACTCTTTTCCTCTTCTGCTTCTTCCCCCTTTTCACTCATCTCCACTTGCTGAAAGCCTGGAACAGGCTATATTTCCCTGATTATATGAAAATAAAATCACAAAGAACCTGGAATCCAAATTTAGAGTCCTTATCAGTCAGAGCTTTTACAAGGCTAGTATTTATATGATGTATTTTGTAAAAGTAAAGGAATTTTCAGCAATCTGTTTTGAATGAAAGGTTTATCCCAGAAATGACTTGTATTGTAATGCTTATTTTACTCATGAAAGTAGTTATCGACATTTTGTAGCAGTTTTTGAGAAACAGTTTTAGTAGAAAGTGAAATTTTGAAATGTTTTAGAAGCACATATGTTGTGATATTTTTATATTTTGTACACAATCAGATATAAATAATTGAAATAAATTCAAGTTAAACTTTGGAACAGATATCAATTCTGAAAGGGCTGGAGTCTTCCTTTTCCATCATGCTCTAATATTTAATTGCACATTGTCAGACATTGTTAAGTTTATTGTTTATGTGTTACCAAGCCGGTAAATAGAGCAAGCTCCTGTCTGTCTCTGTTGTTAAAGATTGTTTGCACAGCAAGAAGTTGCGTAAATGCAGGGTGCAAAGAAAGTCTGTTTTACTGCCTGCTATTCGGGCAAGCAGTAGCTAGCATGCACTAGCCCAGTCATTTCAACTAGCCCCAATACCCTTTTTGATTACAGGACTGATTCCAATCCTTTTGTAATTTGAATTTGCCCAAAAAACAGCCTTTGGCCATCTGGTAAGTTAAGAACAGAATTCACTAGCCCGATAGCAAAATCCTCTAGCCCCCGGCTATCAGACACGACTGCCTTTGCAGGCATATAAATGTCACTCCTTTGGTACTCAGGGATCAGTGACAGGTGGCCAAAGTCAACTTACAACTGCTTCAGATAATAATAATAATAATATTTTAACCCCCAACAATGACCCACATCCAATTTCTCCCAACAATAACACTGCCGGATCAAACAGACAGGTCATGAGAATTAAAGAAATGATCACAAAAGATGAAATGTTGTGATGTTACAACAAATTCTCTCAAGCAGTACCATAAGGAATGTATGAAGAACAGCGTGGAGAAGATGCATGTTGATGCTGGGGCTTGAAGGGTTAATAACCTGCCTGTCTAATATTTTTATGCTCTCACCTCACCAAACCACAGAAACGCTAGAGACTTCTAATGGTTTTAATATACATTCATGATTTTAACATTTCCAACTTTGATTATCATCTGTACAGACCAAAATGTTGACTTTCAAATTTTTATTTTCTCTATTACGCCACACAAGCCTCTACCCTCTTCTTTATTAGTCCTTAGTCTGAGGCACCAAAAAATAGTTATTTATATTTAAGCCCCCACTCCTTATTAATAATATAATATTGTGTTCATACAAATTTGTTTTGTTTATAGTACTTGCTTTTCTAAAGTACAGCAATGGAAATTTAGGTGTTCCCTGGTGGAGCCTCATCCACACCCCTTTCTGCCCACAGTGGTACAAAGAGAAAGGCCCTAGGCTTAAGTGAGTCCTGATCTAAGATCAAATTCTCTTTTTGCTTCGCAATCATGTACAAGAGTCACATTTTGGAGGGAGAATATGACAGTTTAACACTTAATGTTTCGAAGTATCCCTTCTGTTGAAGGTTTACCTGGATAAAGTGAGTCGTGACTTAATGTGGTAAGCTTCTACACTCTTTAGCCAGAAGCCTTGAATTTGCTTGTGAAACAAAAGGAATACTGGCAAACATCTTACATTGAAGTCAAACTTAGACCGCAGTTTACGGGACTCATTCTGCCTTTAGATCTGTTTGTAAGGTGTTTTTGTTAATAAAAATGGAAGCATCAACAAAACCTAGCCAGACCAGATTGAGGCAACCCATGTAGACAGTTGGGGATAAGATTACAAGAAAAGGTCCAGTCCGATCCCAGTTTTTGTCAAAAGCAGACAAAAGGTGTTTGGTCAACAAGCCTTTTTGATGCTGTTTAAAGCAAACAGTGTTTAGATATGAGGGTTGGCAAAATTTCAAATAGCTTAGCTGACGTTTCGTTATAGCCATGAGTCCATGTGTTGGTTGCATTAAAAATCAGTTCCTGTCTACTAAAACAAAGATTATTTTGCAGTTAAAATAAGCATTTCACAATTTGGTTGTTATTTTGAAATTTATTTTTATTGCAATATCATGTACAGAGGACTAAGAATGTGCAAGTATAGAAGTCCAACTGATGGAAACAATCACAATGTTCTGCTACTTGACAACCATTCTGATTCCCAGAGGCCTCGATCCTTAAGTCAGCCAAGGATTGGGACCTGACCCAATCTTTGGTACTGACCAAAGGGATTGATGCCTCTGGGAAATGAGAACGCTTGACAAACAGATGAAAGCTCACTGCACATTTTAGACTTCATTTGTACACTTGGATGAAACCGTAGCCTATATATGTATATATGCAACATTGCTTTATAAAAATTATAAGTATCATTATGTTGTATTCCTTTCCCAGTTCTGCATTTTTCATATCAAGCTCATCTTCTACCCATAGTAGCTAGTCTATTTACAAACGGCTGTGACATAAAAGGTTTTTTGCAGAGAATTATAGGAACACTAAGTAATAAGGCTGATGAATAATTAAGTATTTGCAATGGAGTAGGGTAAAGTTCTGTATTTATCAGAGGATCTTTTTCTTAGTAAAAATGTGATGTAACTTGAATAGGTAAACATCCAGTACCAACTACCGTATACTGTATAATGTGCCCTAACAACCAAAATTGAAGTACATTGAAAAGCTAATAACCCATACATGCGATAAAATTTTTATGCAAACTTTTAAATTTACAACAATAATGTTTTAGTACCAGCAAACAGGCTAAAACAATGCAAGCATGAATATTTTCCCAGGCAAGTTGTGAGTGGATGACACATTATAATGCTTAGAACATCAGCAAGCCCAACTAATGGCTAATCAACATAATAAGTGTCTATTTATACTCTGGTGATTTAAGCTCATTTTAGGTTGGTTTGTGGTTACATTGCTCTAAGTGAGGCAGTTTACAGTCAGAACATCATCATGCAGAGGCAGCATAACACCTTCATACAATTTTCAGTAATTTCAAAATAGAAACTTTTTTAGTCAAGACTTGGAAAAAGGCAGTTAAGCTTCTTTTTGCTTTAGGGGAACAAAATATGGTAGTTTGGTATGTATCACTATTCATTTGTCAACACAAAAATCCTTTGCAAGTTGTTCTTTTATACACTTGTATAAACACACTGAAAAGCTGTGGGTAGTGACCGCAAGATAACCTACCATACATGTACTTCCTCATGTATCATCAGCTTAACCCTTACACCCTAAGCATTTGTCGCCATGCAGTATCTATTTTCTCCCTATCATATCTATCAAGCTAAATCAAACAAATGCATCATCAGCACAAAGGGAATGATCACCACAGATTTATGTCCTGATAATTTAAATTCTTACTTACTGGTAGTTCTTTTGGACATGTACCGAGGATTATATACATGTATATACCTGCCAATTGTATACTTTAGGAAAGCCTGCAGATTTGAAACTTTGACCTCAAGCCAGCTTACCATTGTGTACCAAATTTTTGTTCCTAGTTAAGCTATTATAACATTAACTGACACATTTTCCAAGAAGAATTAAGTGGAAAAAACTCAAAACCAATGTTACAAAAAATGATTGCATTTCCCTAACCTGTTAACGAAAGCGTGACCAAGAGGTACATTAATAATTATTACAGCCGCCATTATGAAAACAACTTGAAAACTAAGGGAGCCATTAGCCTCTCCCTTGGAATCATTTTTTGACTCACCTCAACTTTCTGTCCAAATCATCAATTTTGTTAGGGTAATTTTTTCACAGTGTATTATTTTCTTGAGAACTAGGGACATATGATTAGGTCTAATCGAGGCATATAAATCACTGGCCACTGACTGACTTTCGGAATTGGCAGATATACACTTGTATGTACATGTTTAAATGGCTGAAAGAGTTAACTCTTAAAAAACAGTTAGCATGATTTGGTTACTGATTGTTACAAGTAACTTTACCCTAAGATAGCAACAGATTAGCCATTGTCCATCCCACAATAATTTTGAACAGAACGTGACAGTTTTGCCCAATAACTGGTCTTTTTCTTCAAGCCTGTATAGTAACTGTGACTTGAGAACTTAAATTTCTTGATATGCTTTTGTCTTAAACAAACGGCGGGCCCAAGAAGATCAACACCCTACTTAGCACCAAATATTTCCTCCAAACGTCTTTGCTTCTTACAGCCTTGTCAGCTCTTATCAAATTGTTGAAAGGCAGGCGGCAATTTTCTGCCTTAAAAATGTAAGGTTATATGAACAAGTATGTCCCAGTGATTCAATTGAAAAGCATTGAATGTTTTGGCTCTGTATCCTTCTTTTCATCCCTGTGATTTCCTTCAGTTAGCGAGGAAGTTGCTTTCAGGTTTCAATTCCACCTCTCTTGAACTTCACTCTGCATTGACATTTACTTCTGCTCGGCATATGGGGCATGTTCTGTTTGACTGCAAGTATAAGAGAGAAAGTTGACAACTTTAGACAAAATTGTAATAAAACAGACTGATAAACACACACTAGCTTCTCACTCCACTAACAGTTTAGCATTTGTTGGATACTTTGCGGCATAACTATATATAAAGTCTTTACAGTGGTAGGATCAAATTTTTGTGAGTTTGGTTTTCAGACTGCTGTAGCTCTTGAGACAAACTTTTGACCCTTTCAGCAGAAAATACTGGCACCATAAGAAAAAGACTGACTGTTATACATTATGCTGACAAGCAAAGATTGTGACATAATTATTGTGAAGCAAAAAAATTCTAATATACTTATATTGCAGTCTACAATGGAGGACAAAAATCCTTGGAACGGTTATGGAAAACCTTCCTTCCACATCCTTAACTTATCAAATGTTCAGATGTAGCATAATGTACACTTCTCTAACCACTTGGATACCGCGACTGGCCCTCCCCTCCCCCCTCCAAACAATGTTGGGATGAAGAAACACTTTTAGGACAGGGTAAAGTGTACAGGGGTGCACAAACTACAACATTGCTTAGGGGAGAGGGGGAAAGGTCCCAAGAATTTTGTCCTCCATTGTAGGTAGGCAGTTAGATATTCAATTACAAAAGCCTATATAAAAATCCTGTAAAATTTCAAGCCACACATTAATTTGGTGCCTTGTACTACATTGAGCAGAAAATACTCATCTTTGATTTCACATTCCTACAGGTGTAAATTTCACAAAAATCCTTCAAATATCTTAATACCTTTAGCCATTTGTCAATACATCTTGTGTGATACTCATGTTGGCATGGTAAGACCCTTACAAGTTGTTTCTCTTCAAAATCCACCAAACACACCACACATCTTTTGTCGTCATCTTCACTTTTTGATGCTGCTGTAACGCGATACGTTGGGAGCTGATCGATTTCAACACGAGAGAGCCCTTTTGGCTTTGCTTCGCCCATCTGCTCAGCAAAATTAAGAAGAGTCTGCAAGAAGAATGAAAGTTGTTTAAGAAAGCACAAAAACTAGGAAATGGTCTTATGTCTTACAAAAACAATCACTTCATTATTCCCTTAAGGGGCTGATGTTTCATGACTCTCTACTTCATCAGGGTTCGTACTCTTTTGAGTTCTTCAAATTTCATGACTTTTTCCATGACCTTTTCTAGCTTACCATCACCTTAGGTTTGTCATTTTCTAAAATTTTCAAAACTTTACTTGTTTACTTGTTCTGAGCTGTTATTTTTATGTTTCACTGTTTGAAATTTTATGAATTTCATGACACAGCTCCTTTTATTCATGGTTTATGAGTCCAGATAATAGCACTTCCTTCTCCGGCCCAACCATGCAAGGCTTGCCAAAGGCTTACAACTTTGATGGGTTAAGGCTAATCAATCAAAAGAAAGTTACCTCATAATTTTCACGAGGGTGCACTTCTTCTTCCCATGCAGGGGTTGGAGGATGTGTTGGTATGGGCTGCATTGACATCACAGATATAAGATGATAAAGTAGATCAGGATATGGGTGCATGGAAGGTGGGGGAGGAGGTGCCGCATGTGTACGTCGTGATGACCAACTCGAATGCGATGAGACGTTTTGATGCCATCTTCTGTGGTGTCTGTGATGCTGAAAAAGGAAATGTAACTATTTATTTTTGTGAATTTAAAACTTTTAAATGGACAGAGACAACTCTTTGTGGCAGCTTCCTATATTTTTATCTAATGATCTCATCAGGAACCAAACTTTTTATCAGCAAAAATTCAAGATCTGCCATTCAAAATATTCTCAGTCACAACCCGTATTTAGATTTTGTCATAAAGTAATGGCTATTTTATTGATGATGAAAACCGGCAAATGGAATAATACACTCAGACCTTAATGGTAAACAGCTTACAACACCTGTAAATTACAGTTGCTATGGTCAGTGAAAAATCGGGAAAATAAAATAGTCTCGAGGTTGGGAGAAGTTCTCTGATATTGTCAAAGTCAGAGAATTGTTTTTTCCTTGTGCCTAAACTCCAGTAAAGAGAGTTAAAAAATGAAGACCGGTATATTCTCTCTTGATGGTCTATGGAAAAAGCTCAAGTGAAAGTATGTGGATTATTTTTTATTATTAGCCACCTAATGCAAAAAACTGCATAGAGGTCAGGGAAAAGTAGGAAAATACTTAAGTTTCTGATGAGTGTTAACCCTGTAAATGCCCACCCAGCATTATTATCACTAAAGCCCTCCACCCTCCCTGGGTAGGTTGCTTTTACTACAGTCAACAACTTGTTTTGGAGAAAAAATTGAAGCTTAATGTACTTACCATTCCACCAGGTGTGGGGTAAGGGTGGTACGCCTGTGTTTGTGGAACTTGATATGGTGGCTGCACAAAATGATGATGGTGGTGGTGGTGGTGGTGGTGGTAGTGATGATGATGGTGTGTGCTGACTCCATTATTTCCTCTGGGGTCCACATCCATCTAAAGAAATTAGTGAGAGAAATCCTTATTTATTCTTTAATATTACAAAGTTTAACATCACTAACTGTTTATGTGTGCAATGATTTAGTTTAATTACCAAACATGACAATATTATTATTGTGCAATCCTAATGTTTAGGTTGCTATCATGCAGGCATGGCACATACGTAATCAGCATTCATTTGGTCTTCCACTAAGAATGAAAATGCAAAGAATGCAACCTGATCAAGTATTTTTGGACTTCCTATCACTTGTAATCTGATCACACGCATTTTAAAGAAACTAAGGCAAAGCACAGCATTGGAATAAGTGTTTCTAACCCTAACCCTAACCTTTGGTTATTGCTAGTAATATCCAAACTGAGTTATCCTTAAAACGCAGATCTGCACATCACTTCTGAATCAATAACTACTACAAAAAATT